TTGTGCAGAATGTAACTTCTTAACATTTGTCTTTTCTTTAGTGTGTTCTCCTCTTTACATGTCTGTTCTTTAGTGTGTTCTCTTTACATTTGTTTTTCCTTTTTTTGTGTTCTCTTTACATTTGTCTTTTCTTTGGTGTGTTCTCCTCTTTACTTGTCTTTTCTTTAGTGTGTTCTCTTTACATCTGTCTGTTCTTTAATATGTTCTCTTTACATGTCTTTTCTTTTGTGTGTTCTCTTTACTTTTGTCTGTTCTTTAGTGTGCCCTCCTCTTTACATGTCTGTTCTTAAGTGTGTTCTCCTCTTTACATATCTGTTCTTTAGTGTGTTCTCTTTACATTTATTTTTCCTTTTGTGTGTTCTCTTTACATTTGTCTTTTCTTTTGTGTGTTCTCCTCTTTACATGTCTGTTCTTTTGTGTGTTCTCTTTACATTTGTCTGTTCTTTAGTGTGCCCCCCTCTTTACATGTCTGTTCTTTAGTGTGTTATCTTTCCTTTAGTGTCTTCTCTTTACATTTGTCTGTTCTTTAGTGTGCCCTCCTCTTTACATGTCTGTTCTTTAGTGTTATCTTTACATATGTCTTTCCTTTAGTGTCTCCTCTTTACATTTGTCTGTTCTTTAGTGTGTTCTCCTTACATTTGTCTTTCCTTTAGTGTGTCCTCTTTACATTTGTCTGTTCTTTAGTGTGTTCTCTTTATAGGTCTGTTCTTTATTGTGTTTGCTTTACAAAGTTTTTCCTTTTGTGTGTTCTCTTTACATTTGTCTTTTCTTTTGTGTGTTCTCCTTACATGTACAGTATGGAACTTCTTAGCATTTGTCTTTCTATTAATCTCATCTGTACAGTATGTACCTTCTTAACATTTCTTGTGAATATGGAATGAGCTTTGTCGATTTCATTTAAATACATATTCAAATTCAGGTTGAACTGTTTCTTTAAATTTACGATGATTGTTTGTCAACACCAAATCCAAACTCGTGGGTTTCATTAACGAGGTACATGTCTGCCACCTGCATCACTTCCAACAGCAAACTTACACGCCCTGAGAACTGAAATACTGTAGCAAGCGACATTAGTAGTCACTCTTTACCTTTAAAGAGTTTGTTTATTATTTAACGCCGCACTCAGCAATAATATTCCGGTGACGGTGGTCTGTAAATAATCGAGTCTGGCCCAGACAATCCAGTGATTGACATCATGAGCATCGATACACGCAATTGGGACACGATGACGTGCATCAACCAAGTCAGCGAGCCTGACCACACGATCCAGTTAGTCGCCTCTTCCGACAGGCATAGTCGTCTTTAACGGCAAGCATGGGTTGCTGAAGACCTATTCTACCCCGGATCTTCAGTGATGATCAAAAACGACAAAAAAATAACAAGACTATTATTCCATGTTTGGTTATATTGGTAACAAACAAATCCAATCTTGTTATGAGTCTACATAAAATATATTTCCTTCTCATGACTTCCAAAGGTGACTGGGAAGGGAGGGAGATTCTAAAATGTCCTCTTTTGGCTAGGTTATATGTATGTGACACACCATGAATGCGCAAACTTGGGCAAAAACGTCATTAAAAAAGTTGATCTTAATAGTGCTTTTAACGAAATAGTGGGGAGGAAATTGTAAGTGTCCGATAGTCATGAGAAACAAGTTATGTTTTAACAAGCTAAAAGATACAATAAATATGGAATCTCGATCTCATGTGAACACCAGATGATACATTCGGGAACAATAACGTGAAACAGTTTTACAAATATGCCAACCGTGTACTTGTACATTTGTATGATTTTCTTCTAATTGAGACAGAATGTTGAAACTATCTGACTCAAGTGTTCTTTACACAGTTGAAATGAACATAGGGATACAACCAGCCTTAGAAAATCGTATTTCTTCAAAGTGAGTGAGTATGGTTTTACGCCGCTTTTAGCAATATTCCAGCAATAACACGGCGGGGGTCACCAGAAAAGGGCTTCACACATTGTAAGAGTAAATCATTTATTGTCGCCATCAAGATAATAAACTATATAAAACCCCATTTTTTTCTTTCTCTTGAGCTACTTAACATTTTAAGGAAATCAATAATATACATTTAAAACTGGATTTTTCTCTCTTGACCACCTGAGCTGGGATTTTTTAACCAAAAATCTGTACCTTCCCCCTTCTCAATGCTGTAACAAACACAACAGTGTCACTTTAGGCCGCTTTGTTTCATAACTGGGTTAACATATATCTTGGTTATTTGGTGGCAGTAAAATGAAATGTAAATTTCAAGAACATGTACCAGTACTTTTGTCATTGGCCGCTTAAAGATTATTGACATTTCAAAATATCACTGAGTAATTACAGATAATTGAATGCAATGTATAACATTTGTAAATAAGTTCTTTGACTTGACACACGTAGACCATCTTACGAGGCAAGGGCGCTAACTGACTATAAAAGTCCAGTTTCCACTCTTGCCGAACTAGGCTGGAATTCCGGAGTCTATGCATAGTCCAATCAAAATCGCGTAACGATCTAGACATCAGGGTGCCGTGGTACAGAGCAAACTTAGTGCTAAGGTGATCGTAACTCACACACCTTAACATAGACTTACGACAGTCGTAGCGCTAAGGTTGCTTTGTACAACGGCACCCTGGCTTGTAAACAATATGGATTTCAACAAGCAGATCGTGGTCGATTGCAGGATTTGCAAAGCACGTGTCGACGTCGACAGATATGTTGAAAATGTTTTCACGTTTATAAGGTGCTCAAGTCATTTGCACTTCGCCGGGTGAACTGTTTTATCAAATATAGATCTTGATTATCGATCAGATCGTCTTGACTGGGGACGGCCATTTTGTTTGCAGCAAATGCAAGTGATACCTGAGGTGGAACCTGATTGGTCAAAAGGAGGGATATATACTCCAAGGCAAAAGTTATTGTGGCGTGAATTCTTTTCACTTACAAACCATCTTCCCTTGGTAAGAGCGTCCACTAGCCTATTTATCAAAGTTTCCACCCTTGCCACATCAAGCCCACTTGCCTGTGCTAAATATGATTGGACTATCGCACATATCGATAGTCCAATCAGAAAACGTTTCACAAAATCAACATCCACGACTGGTACACCTTCGTATGAAAGTGCTTTACTGCTGCCTGTCCTCGTTGACACGAATGTCTTTTTCATATTATAAACATCCAACGATTGCCTATGTTTTTGTGTCAGTGATGAAATCGCGAATGTTTTCGTTATCCCAAAGATGTATATACGTCTTTGGTTATCCTATTGTAGTTGCCATCTTTGTGAAGATATACGAGATAAGAACAGTGATCTGATTGGATATCGCTTTTCATTGCAAAGGGCACAACTCGTGATCTACGCGAGGTGGTCCCAGGGTCGAGCCAAGAAAAGTGGCCTTGATGTGGCAAGGGTAGAAACTAGACTTTGATATAGGCTAGTGGACACGCTTGCCTTGGGAATATGCTTACAAACTTACATCACAATAACTTTTGCCTTTGAGTGTATAAGGGGCATTACTCGTAATAGCTCGGACTAGTTCGGCAAGGGTGGCAACTAGACTTTACAGACAGTTACCACCCCTTGCCCCGGGAAGAGGAACATAGACTCACGGGTTACAGCCCTGTTACAGTGGCAAGTTATGCTTTACCAACTTTCACACACATCACTAGAAGTCTGGTAAAACATTTCTACCAAACAACAATAATCCTGATCACAGATAAGCACTTCAAACTGCCAGGTCCCAAGCTATGAAAGAAACCAAATAAAGTCTTGATGTGCGACCAACACGGGTTCATTGGCACAATGATCCTGCTATCTTGCTCCTTTATTTGTCACAGGTCAAGATTAAACAATCGTCAGTATCACATCAATAACCTTTGGACATAACCACTTCAAATTTCTAAAAAAAATAAGGTTATCCCTCTGAGTGGCTGAAAGTCTGCTTAAGTTACGACATTTTGATCATATTTTTGTGATCTGTGGCATCAATGTTGACTCTATTGCAGTGAGTGAGTTGGGTTTAATGCCGCTTTTAACAGTATATCAGTTATATCACGGCATGTCAGCTTAATGTGGGAGGAAAGCCCAAAGTGATGCAGGTCTCAGACGTTTACCACTTTGGTGAAACCCACGAGCACGGGTATGGAGCTGACAAAACCTAGAAACATAATCGGGGTGAATCGGGATTCGAACCCACAATCATAATTTAGCGTGCCCAAGGAATGCAACTCTACACAATGAATTGCGGCGCCATGTTAGACAACTGGGCCACCCCTACCCTAATTCCATTTCAAAACACTTTAAAGTAAACGCAATTATAATGGCTACAGCAATTTCCTGTACATACGCTATATATGCTAACAACGAACTACGGTTATAACAATCTAAAACAAGTATTTGTCACAAAGTGACGAAATGTCCCCCGCCGCCTTATGCGATGTGTTTTTTCCCCAAATATTTTATTCCTTTTCTGTGTTAGATACCTCCATGGAACTATTTGTCGTACCATTAGAAATAATTACCCAAATTCCTGCAAATCAAATCGGCTCATGGCTGCTCATATAGAGACATGTCTGATCATCAAACGTGAAGGAATCCAGAAATTAGTTCTTTAGATATCGCAGTAACACTGTTTTCCATCTCGAAAAACAGATTTGCCTGCTGTGACCTTGAAAATGGGGTCAAGGTCACCAAAACCGACTGGTGTCTGCGGAGTCTGTATATACACCATAGTTCCAAATATGAAGACAATCCAGTGTTTAGTTCTTGAGATATCGCGGCAACAAACAGGTGGGACGTACGGACAGACGTACGGACATACGGACGGTCGTGAATACTATGTCCCCCGCCGACAATTAGTGGTCCCCTTGAGTTCGTCATAACCGTACTTTACTGTACTTGTACATGAAGATGAACCAACACCCTGCCTTGTTCAGTAAATACCTTCCAACATTAGCACTCACTAGAACACCCTCTCAAAAACTAGATTCATTGCATGAACAAAATCAAACTCCTTTTATTCTTCGAAGTAATAAATCCATAGATATTCACGAAGACTGGTTGTGAGAATTTCTTTTTAAAATCACATCTAGAATGGATGCTGCAAACAAGCGACTCATTCATAATTCTCAAATGATGCAATGCCATACCAAAGTCACAGTAAACGATATCACAGGATAGTTTAGGTGTAAAAGTATGTCAACATATTCTGTGATTGACATAGCAGAGGGCGGCTAATTCGAGATCGGGAGAACCACGGGAATGAATCCTTGGGTTAGTGTAGGTTTACCAAAATGCGAGCCCTGGAGATGTAGATGATATAGATGTAGAGCCATACATACAACTTGACCACCATCCCATCCAGTGATCAGGTGAGTACAATAATTTATGTGATGATACCTAATGGAGAATGTTTGATCATATCATTGAGGCTGAAATAATGATGTAAACATCATATGCTGTTGAGACTAATGTTATGCAAGTTTTTTATAGCTGAATTCACAGAATTCATGTTTCTTCTCAATTTCTTATCATGTCACTCACATACCCCACGACTATGTTGAGTATGGTAAAAAGAGAGTACGGCAAAACAGTAATCAGTGTACTGATGTAAACATCATATGCTGTTGAGACTAATATTGTCATGCAAGGTTTTTTAATAGGTGAATTCACAGAATTCATGTTTCTTCTCAATTTCTTATCATGACACTCACATACCCCACGACTATGTTGAGTATGGTAAAAAGAGAGTACGGCAAAACAGTAATCAGTGTACTGATGTAAACATCATATGCTGTTGAGACTAATATTGTCATGCAAGGTTTTTTAATAGGTGAATTCACAGAATTCATGTTTCTTCTCAATTTCTTATCATGTCACACACATAACCCACGACTATGTTGAGTATGGTAAAAAGAGAGTACGGCCAAACAGACACTGCTTAGCATGCTCAGCTGGACCTCACTTTCTCCACAGTCATGAGGGTGTTTTGAGATGATCCAAGCAAATATTTCAAAACTGCCATGCGATATTATCAATATTGTATTTGTTGTTTAAATTGTGAGATGTGGAGTATTGTTTTACCCTACTTTTGACAATATTCCAACCACATCTCACATCTCATCAGACATGGGCTTCACAAAGTCTACCCGCGCGGACTCTGACCTGGGCCCACTTGCACAAAACGATCTTAGCGCTCAGACTATTGTAAGCCTATGTTAAAGTATGGGAGGTAAGATCATCTTAGCGCTAAGATCGCTTTGTTCAAGTGGGCCCTGGGTATCAAGTGTGACAAGCCAACACTTTACCCACAAGGTACCCTTATTTTACACACATGACAGGTATTTGTTCATAAATAAATATGGGCATGCATGGCAAGTTTTGCAAGCTAAATTCTTGCTTGTTTCATTTCAGAGATGCAAAAAATGATCATCCAATACATATACTCCTAAGATTAACTCTATAATATTAACACATATACTTCTAAGATTTACAATAAGGTGGCTGTAAGTGCATTCTCTATAGTCGTGTAACCTTCCATCTAGTACATTAATCCCTTCTAAAAGCACTAGTCACTATTATGATAGTTCTCCGAGACCAGTCAGCACTGTTGTACTACTGTTGTCCCCCAGCACAAACTGCTGACCCTTGTCTGCCTTGTAGAAGTCAATCCTGAAAACAGAAGAGAGAGTGTGAGTGAATAATGTTTTATACCTGACAGTACTGTTCCCATCTTCCCGAAAAGTCAAGTTTCCTCCCTTGCAGAACTAGGCTGGAATTTCTGGGGTCAATCGTAGCGCCAAAAGTGACGGTTACGAGCTATGTCCCTTCTATTTCTCTCCTATTGACCAATCAGATTCCACATCTCATATCACTTGCATTTGCTTCAAACAAAATGGGGGCACCCAGTCTAGACGATCTGAACGATAATCAAGATCTATATTGTAATAAGACGGGTCTAACACAGCGTGGTGCACCAAATCACATGAGCACCTTGATTAAAAACATGAAAAGATTTGAAAAATATCTGTTGACACCGAGTTGGCGTTACACATGCTTAGCAAATCCTGCAATCGACCAAAATCTGCATGTCAGAATATGTACCGGATGTCGATTTTGCTATGCTATTTTGACAGGACAATGCAAAGACTCGTTAGTTGTTGGCAAGGGTGGAAACTGGACTTTTATAAGCTAACTCAGGAAGATGCACTGTTCGCGCCAAAACAACCACACAGCCACTTGAGTTTCATTACCCGGAAGGAAGATACATTCACATCAAACTTCCACAGATTTTCAAAAGAGAGTGGATATGGTGAGTGACTAAATCTAACTAAACCTTGTACTCAGCATATTCCAGATGTGTAATGCCTGTGAGTAATCAAGTCTGGACCTGACAAACCATTGACCAATGATCCATGCTGTTAGGGAATATGACCATTATTAACCAAATCAACCCCTACTTGATGCTCTTTAGAAAAGCATTGGTAACATGAAGACCAATATTTTTATCCAGAAAATTTTGCTTGCCGGAAGAGGTGACGTAACTCCCACACATTAACATAGACTTACAACAGTCATAGCACTAAGATGATTGTAACTCCGATACTTTAACATAGACTTACAACAGTCATAGCGCTAAGATGATTGTAACTCCCATACTTTAACATAGCCTTACAATAGTCATAGCGATAAGATGATTGTAACTCCCGTACTTTAACATAGACTTACAACAGTCATAGTGCAAAGATGATTGTAACTCTCATACTTTAACATAAGACTTACAACAGTCACAGCGCTAAGATGATTGTAACTCCCATACCTTAACATAGACTTACAACAGTCATAGCGCTAAGATGATTGTAACTCCCGTACTTTAACATAGACTTACAACAGTCATAGCGCTAAGATGATTGTAACTCCCATACTTCAACATAGACTTACAATAGTCATAGCGCTAAGATGATTGTAACTCCCGTACTTCAACACAGTCTTACAACAGTCAACGATAAGATGATTGTAACTCCCGTACTTCAACATAGACTTACAAGTCATAGCGCGAAGATGATTGTAACTCCCGTACTTCAACACAGACTTACAACAGTCATAGCGCTAAGTTGGTTGTAACTCCCATAATTTAACATAGACTTACAACAATCATAGCACTAAGATGATTGTAACTCCCATACTTCAACATAGACTTACAACAGTCATAGCACTAAGATGATTGTAACTCCCATACTTCAACATAGACTTACAACAGTCAGCGCTAAGATGATTGTAAATCAACAAGGGCCACATCCATGTATTTAAAGCTCGCATTGAAAGGAAAGGAAATGATACCAACGTAGTTGCTACTCACCTATCATAGATTATACCCTCCACTCCCTCCTTCCTCAACAGGTTGATGGTCTCAGAGCTATTGTTCTCATCTCCCCACACAAACATCACCAGGCCCATGTTGTGTGTCTTCTTGATGATAGACAGATCCTTCAGCAAGCCCTCGGCCTGGAAGTCCACGCCCTACAACAAACACGACCAGCATGTCAGCCATGCAATCTATAGAAAGGTAGACAGTGTTTTATCAGTTGGTAGAGTTATAAATCAAATTGTTGGTTGATATCTGCAAAAGAACCTAAATCCTACCCTAAGTAAGAAATGTACTCATTAAAATGACCACCCATTGGATGAAGGTTTTTAACAGTTCTAACTTGCCAACTTTTAGTACTACAGTAAATTATGGTTATAACAAACTCAAAGCCAATACTTTTTGTTTGTTATAACCGTAATTCGTTATAAGCATTTCAACTAAAGGATACCACAAAATAGGTGGAACCAAAAACAACAGTTCGTAATATCCGTCAATTCATTATAAGCGTGTTCGTCATAAATGTAGTTCACTGTATGTGAATCAGAAGCACACAAAGAATTAGAATCTGTCAATTCCAACTCCACAGATTTCCATTTCTCACTTACAAACAAGACAACTTTTGGGGGGCAAACAGACATGCGCCATTGTCAAAACTTGGGATACACTTTTAAGAACCATTTATCCATATGTATGTATGGTTCTAAAGTAGACCTTAAGCCTCATCACAAATTATCCAACAAAATTGAATCAAACTGTACAGAATTCAAAATTCATAATATTTTGTAATTTTGTTTCTGCAATTTGTATGTCAATGATAACTGTATGTCAAACATGACTGCAGGTTAATACCTCTTGTGGTTACTCTTTCCTTATTTTATTGCCAACAGTATTTGAGTACTGATAACACCAAATGAAGAGTTCTGCATTTTGTATGGATCATTAACCCTCGTCTTCCTGGGACGAGTTAAGGGAGTCAACTGGTTAAAAAAAGTAAGTTTCCATCCACCCTTGCTGAACAAGGCAGCAATTCTTGAGTTATATTTTGGATGGACTTACGAGTCAAAACTCGTGTGATGTCAGAGGTGGAATCTGATCTGTCAGTTGAGGGGACATAGAAGGGACATAACGTGTAATAGCCACTGGTGGCGCTACAATCGAGGCCAGAAATTCCAGCCTAGTTCGGCAAGGGTGGAAACTGGAATTTAACTCCCCAGTCAGTTAACTCCCTTGCCTTGGGAAGATGTAACACCCCCCCAAAAACATATATATGTTATAACAATGTTGTTCACTGCATTTGAATAGATGAAATTTACCAGCAATCCATAGGCAAGAGCAAATTTGATGCCAGTGTCGAACTCCCTTGCCCTGAAGTCAGTGTATGGAGAGTACTTCACTGTGGGGCCGTTGCTTAGGAACAGAACAGGATATTTGTTCTGCTTCATCTGCAACCTGTAGTTGAATAGTGGATTACAAAATGGAGATGCTTGATGCATTTACTATTAAGATCATGATAATGATACGTGACGTTTAGATGACTAATATGTTTTTTTCAAAGATAGTGAAGCAGTCCCGCCAAGATTCTTTTAAATGATAACAGCTTTAGTGCTACTTATCAAATAACAAAACGAAATAATACACATTTATGTTGCTTACTGTCCAAATAAAAAAAAGAACATACATATTTTTGTGTAACAGTATTTATCAGTTTATTTAACAGTTTATAGAATTTTTTTTAAACATTTAACACAGGTGAATAAGGGGTTCGTTTCTTAGCAACATCATCATTTCAGGTATGTTCAACAGGAACATAGCTAATGCTATACCAGACACAATGAGCCTGATGCTAAGCCTCCCTTGTTAAGTGTTTGGATGACACCCTATACAGAAGATCTCGCTTACATGATGCAACTGTCCGGGTCAAAACTTGAAAAGATGATGCAACGTGTTCCAGCATGGTCAAAGATGGTCTTGAGGATTGTGTCCACATGAAGGTTGTGATCAAAGTAGTGTTCCAACTCCGGACCATCCTGAAACAGAGGATATTTTTTTAAATTTTATTATCAGCATCTTATCACGTTGCTCAACTAATGGGTTCACTTTAAACGCCATGAAAATAAAAAGCAAAAATATATGACCATAAGATGACTCTAGGACACCTCAATGAACACAGAACTTTGGCGTATCACTGGAGTATTGACACATTGAGGATACAAAATGTCGGAGGTTGCTGTTTGTCTCATCAAGTGGTGTGGACAGAGCTCATATCGTCATGAGTGGCATGTATATATATAGTTTCACGCAAATTTTCAAACAAATACTCAAGGCAGAGGTGAGCAGAATAAAGGTCGGGGACACCGTTTGCAAAGACTGCGCCTTGCGGTGACTTCGATGTTAAAGACCAAAGTCTCTACAGACGAGTGAATCCATCCTCCAATCGGGAACTCCTTCTGGGAAACCCAAATAATCAAAAATCAAGTTGTAACTTTAATAGATTTATTCCATATATACACGAACGTAGTAGAGAGCAGGAACGAGTAAACGCCACTGTTTAGTTGTGTTGGAGAGACGTTATCAGCTGTTGTGCCAGGACGAGAGGACCGAACTGGTGCAAACCCTGGACATCAGTGACAGAGATGTCACGGAGATAGTTTAAGGCAAAAACTGTGACCGACTTACAAAAGCACCCTTCCATGATGGCGGAGAGGTTGCAATAGCTGTGCAAGACCATGGTGGAAGCGGCAGCTCGAGTTTCATGTGGGTTCGATTCAACAGGTGGAGGTAACCCAGCAAAGTTGTAAGCACGTAGGATGATCGAGCGGAGCCAGAAGGAGATCATGGTATAGGAAACTTCAAATACTGCCGCAGCCGAGAGCGGAATGAAGAACCTCTTCTGTGAGCACCGACGTGGACTCTTCTAGGTCTTCCGAACCCAAGATGGGCATCAGTTACAGGATTGTGAAAAGGCGATCAGGTTGTCCTGGAAGCAGGTTCTTCGTTACAAAATCCCAGTGAAAACCCAAGTATACTGTTCCCTTCTCAGACCATTCAAACTACAGCGTGTTGACATCCAGAGGGTGGGTCTCGCTAATATGAGCAGCAGTTGCAAGGGCCAGTAGAAAGACGGTCTTGAAAGTGATCACCTTGAAATCTTTGTCAGCAAGTGGTTTATAATCAGCCGACATCAGATGTTTTGAAGTATGAGGTTAAGATCACAAGAGGGAGACATTAGGCCATGACCAAGGGCTTTAGCTGATGTGTGTATTACTACTGATCATGCTGATATCACTTATCGTCACATAGCTTTGGTTGGTTGGTTGGTTGGTTGGTTGGTTTGTTGTTTAACGCTGCACTCAGCAATATTCCAGCTATATGACGGCGGTCTGTAAATAATCGAGTCTGGACCAGACAATCCAGTGATTAATATCATGAGCATCGATCCACGCAATTGGGATCGATGACATGCATCAACCAAGTCAGCAAGCCTGACCACCCGATCCCGTTAGTCGCCTTTTACGACAATCATAGTCGCCTTTTACGGCAAGCATGGGTTGCTGAAGACCTACTCTACCCCGGAATCTTCACGGGTCTTGTCACATAGCAGAGGTAGGAGATTGAACTCAGTGATTGTTCTGGCTACACACTGTACCAAAGCCCTATGTCCTGTCACAGTTCACGGGACAGTGTCGTTTGCCAACAAGCAGTATGTCTTTGTAAGGTATTGCTCTCAGGACCATGGCAATACAGCAAATGCACATATGAGTAGACATCCAAGCCCTTGTTTTGCTGTAGTGACACTTTGGACTGCCATGGGACCCAATCATTGACCCCTGAAAACAACAAATGCCCCTCTGATGCAGCGTTATGTTGGTCTCCTACCTCTGTGGGTGTCCTGGTCCTTCATTTTCACATATACTATATAGCAGTGTTCGAAATACCTGCCTGCCCGACCGTCTGAGACGGGTTGATTTCAACTCGGGCTGCCAGATTTTCAAATCCCCCTGCCCGACGGTCGGGTTATATTTCATATGTGAAAATATTCAAAATATTTCCCGATGATAAGCATTAATTCACATGAAAAGATGAATGATAAAATGTAACCAAAAAGAAACCCCGTTAGCTTATCCTGAGAAACATATGATTATAGTGGGCAGGCAGGTTTTGGTCAGGATTGGCAAGTATTTCAGCTAGCCAGTCCTGTGGTCTGGCTGAAATTTTTGGGAGTTTCATACCCTGTATATAGTTCCATCAATCGTATGTAAAAATACCTACATCTGTGGCCTGTGGGTGTTTGATCTCGATGTTGAAGCCGACTTCAGGGGCCACCCTCCTAAGACAGTCCTGTAGAGTGGGAAATGGCTGCAGGTCGTCACAATCACTCGAGTCCAGCGTCAGCTCTGAAATGATACCATGATGTGAGACTATGTGTGACAGTCGGCAATTTTCTTCTCAACAAATGTGACCAACAATGAGATAAGGGACCTAATGGGTGAAAAATCACATTTTGACTTTTCATTATATTTTTAAACTACAGCATCTTTAGAACACAAAAATACAATTCACAAGCTTCAATTCATATTTATCACCGAGATTCATGACACCACACATGGCAATTTCACTGAAGTAAGTTGACATCAAACGTCTTTAAGACATCATAGCACAATTGTATCCTAGCACCCATAAGGTCCCTTTTCTCCTGGTGGACCACAAATGCTGCCAGTTATTAAAAACATTTCCTTTTTTTAATATTGATGACATACTGGCAAATATTAACAAGCAACTAAATTGTAACAGACTTCAGATGCAGCAATTAATGTAACAGTGATATGGAAGCCAGATCGAACAATTTCAGGAGCCAACATGGATGGGGACACGTTTCAGCTTCATTGGTCCAGTGGTTTGTCATCTTCCCGAGGCAAGAGAGTTAACTGACTATAAAAGTCCAGTTTCCACCCTTGCCGAACTAGGCTGGTATTATGGAGTTACATTTTGGCTTGACTAACGAGTCTATGCAGAGTCCAATCAAAATCGCGGACCAAAATTGAAATCCAGTTCGTAAACTGAGGTGCAGATTTCAGTCAATTGCAGGATTTGCAAAGCACGTGCACCTCCAACTCATTGTCAGCAGATATTTTCCAAATCTTTTCATGTTTTTAATCAAGGTGCTCACGTGATTTGATGCATTTCGCGATGTACGACCCGTTTTATCACAATATAGATCTTGATTATCGATCAGATCAGATCACCATTTTGTGTGAAACAAACGCAAGTGGTACGAGAGGTGGAATCTGATTGGTCCATAGGAGAGGCTTAGAAGGGACATAACTGGTAATAGCCCAGTAATTCCAGCCTAGTTTGGCAAGGGTGGAAACTGGACTTTAACAGTCAGTTAACTCCCTTGCTTTGGCAAGATGGTGGATTGTGTGCAGATGTTTACAAGGGATTACGAACAAGAAGGTTATAAGCTTACATGACTTTTAGTCAGAAACTTTGAGGATATTTCCAAAGTGTTAAAGTTAGGAACTGTGGTTACAGGGAAACATGCCATGACACAACACTGCTAATTGAAGTTTGGTTCCTGTGAACTACTATTCTTATCTCAACATGTGGAACAATCACTTACTGATGTGATTTTCTGCTGATGATGATGCATGATACAGCTGAAACGAAAAAAATACATCTCGGTATCACACTTGTGCATTGACATGATACAAAACTGACAAGACTGAAAACATTTGAATAGATTTACAGGATTGGCTACACATTTCTCTTAAGTTTTCACACTGTTGTTTTTCAAATACGCAGTATATTTTTAGAACTAAAACAGAACAACCTGATCCTAAAATCAGCAAAATATACATCAGAAATGCATTCTACAAATGTTCCAGGCAGTCTTTGGGGGGAACATAAGCATGTACATGTAGAGGTGACTGTGAGAGTCACAGTGTCTGACACTGATGACTGTAAGAAAGGGGGGGGGGGGGGGGCAGTCCTGGGGGGAACATAAGCATGTACATGTAGAGGTGACTGTGAGAGTCACAGTGTCTGACACTGATGACTGTAAGAAAGGGGGGGGGGGCAGTCCTGGGGGGAACATAGGCGTGTACATGTAGAGATGACTGTGAGAGTCACTGTGTCTAACACTGATGACTGTAAGAAAGGGGGGGGGGGGGGGGGGGGGCAGTCCTGGGGGGAACATAGGCGTGTACATGTTGAGATGACTGTGAGGGTCACTGTGTCTGACACTGATGACTGTGTTACCCTGAGAGACTGCAGCTGTTCACAGGTCAGGTCCTTCACAGGAATCTCCAGGAGTTCTTCCTTGTCATCATATCTCTGTAATAAAAAACAAGAAGAAGGGTAGTTTTACATTGCAAAATGACACATTTCTCAATTTTCTGATGAAATCTATTTGAAACAAAATTTAACTTCACTCATAGTTCACTATCCTGAAATCAAAACGCACATTCAAATAGGGAGGACAGGCAAGTGGAAATTTTATAATAAATTGTATATTAATATACTTATCCTATCTCACACTATGGATTTCTTCTTTAAAGAGAGCGAGGGAAACAACATCGTCTTTGTGGATCCCTTTCTGTTTATATGCCACAAAAACCGCATTGTTGGCAGAATGTACCATGAAGTGAGAGGAGCATAGAAGCTCCGGCCAATGAGAGACTACTGGAATTACCACACTGGATTCTAGGTTGTTGATATGGAGAAAAGTGTCCCCATCAGACCAACACCCAACTAGTGGGAGATCGTGGAAATGTGCTCCCCGACCCACGGTTGAGGTGTTGACAAACAGATGAAATATTGGGACGAACGGCTTTAAAGAGACCCTGCCGATTCGATGAGTGCCAAATGCTAGAGCGGGTAACTAATCACATCATCCGATTGTCAAGATGGAGAGCAGATGAGTCGAACCAAACCTGACCTCCGAAAGTCAATCTTTATCTGTTAAACGCAATCATTAATCCCGAGTAGATTTCTCCCCGCGATCCTAAGAGGGACGATCAGGGACATTCAGATCCAGGGAGCGTGATATAGAATCCGATTGGCTAACCAACAGAGAAGGCACTGTTGTAGGCCAACTACCATCCCACAAAACAAACAACATCGAAGGAGCGGAAGTCTCTGAGATCGGAGTCTTGAAGGCAGAAGCATGCATGTTCGACTAAGGGTCGAGAGAGATGACAGAATTGTTTGATAGGCATTGCTTAAAAGTTGACGGATGACAAGATAGACACAATTTTATGGATAACAACTTCTTTAATACTGTGAAAAGCAACGTTTCGGTATAGATCCTTATACTGTTGTCAAGCAAGACTGACTGTTGGCAGTCTCGCTTGACAACGGTATAAGGATCTATACAAGCAAGACTGACTGTTGGCAGTCTTGCTTGACAACGGTATAAGGATCTATACCGAAACGTCACTTTTCACAGTATTAGAGAAGTTGTTATCCATAAAATTGTGTCTATCTTGATATGACAGAAGCATGGCCAGCCACCAGCATGGACGTGTCTGCGGGTCAGGCTGAGTGAAGACATCATCAATCAAAAAGCTATCAGATACCTCATCGTCGGCAACAGATAAGAAAGGCAACTGGGAGTCTGAGGAAGCGTCAAGAGGACTAGACGTGACAGTTGACTTCTCAGCTGACTTATTCTTCTTGTCAGAGTCTTTAGATTTGGACCGACGGTGACACTTATGGAGGTAAATGAGAAAAGCAGAGTCTGGCAAGTAATGACACTCATAATCAGGCAATGTGAAGTCAAAGAACACTGTCTTTGGCAGTCACAACACTGCGTATGGGGGTCTGAAGTAGAGCATGGGTGTCGGCACAGCGTGCACACCAGGGTAATTTGTCCTCTTTTCCAATATAGTATGTTGTCTTTCCCCAGCAACAGTGTTCAAAACAAACCCAAACATAGAGGGATGATGGTGTGTGAAGTTTTTTGTTTTAGAAACTGGAAACATGTTTCAAGCACATTTCCACACTGGATTGAAGAAGAAAGTCGAAATGCATAGTGTGAGATAGGATAAGTTCAAAAATATCCTTTCCTTTAAAATGTTCAAAAGGTAAAAGATGGATGCCAGACAATTTCCATGTGAGAAGACTTGAAATGCTGTTACTACTCTGCAGGACTACTGTGTGACATGACCAACCTTCCTATGCTGTAGAGCCACACTGAAGTCATGGTACACCACAGGCTGTAGATCCTTTGACAGCATCACATCAAACTCCACAAAGTCAGCTCCCTGCAACAAGTGAATGTGTTTATTGTTTAACGCCCCACTCACCAATATTCCAGGTAAGTGACCACCACCTCTGAAAATAATCATGTCTGGACCAGTGGTTAATATTATGAGCAACAATCCACGCTGTCGGGGCACGTTGACACAACCATATCATAGCCAGCCCACTCGACCGATCAGCTTGCTAGGGACCAATTCTAACCCAGAGCCCAGGCCTGGCAGTGTTCAAGTCACAGTGTGTTGTCAAAGATTCGAAACTACCTGCAACTGGTAGGCAAATTGGGAAAATAAACATTCTTTTGTTCAAAATCAGGGCTTTTCACATTGCATTCAGAGTTATTTTAACATTGCATTCAGTGCAGTAATGTAAAATCAAGTATTAAACTCTTCCTCTTTTCCTTTTGTATTCTGGTCCTGTTATCAGGGATATAAGTTACACATAGAAAGCCATAACATTTAATATAACTACCTTAACATGACTTGGGACATTTTTAATTCAAATCTGGAAATTTACACTGAAATTTGCTGCAGACTTAGGGTTGATTATCGGCTTCTGTTTGTTTGTTTGTTGTTTAACGATGCACTCAGCAATATTCCAGCTATATGACGGGGGTCTGTAAATAATCGAGTCTGGACCAGACAATTCAGTGATTGACAACATGAGCATCGATCTACGCAATTGGGACCGATGACATGCATAAACAAGCATAACACTTACATGTTCACCCGCTGCCATCAGTGAAGCCACGGTGTTCTCTCTCACAAGAGCCATCCTGAATCAAAAGGGCATGTTGAAAATAACACGTGAGAATTGAAAGAATCCTACATCATATGATGTAGAATCCTCAAAAAAAAATATCTGACCTAGAATCATTAGTTTAGAACACCAACAATGAGTGAGTGAGTATAGTTTTATGCCGCTTTTAGCAATATTCCAGCAATATCACGGCGGGCAACACCAGAAATGGGTTCACACATTGTACCCATATCAGGAATCGAACCCGGGTCTTCGGCGTGACGAGCGAACGCTTTAGCCACTAGGCTACCCGACCGTCCCCGAAGACCAACAAATCCCCCATACAAGAATATAGAATCCAAATCGCAAGCACACGTCTATCACAGTGCCCAATGAAAAGGAAGTGAGGGGATCAGGGACAGATAACTCTTGTTGGTAACCAAGGGGCGCCCCAAAAGGAGGAAGAGACAAATTTTTGGTTCTGTGATATCACCCAGAAGGAAAATACAATGTGTTGTGTCAGGATAAAAAAAATTAAAAATAATATCAGCATTGTCAGAAAAATGAAGCCTATTTCATTGGTTGAAAAAACAAAACAATTGGTTCTTACGAAAAGATTTATAATTCTAAGAACATGGCTGAAAAGTCCAATTGTATATGCTTTTATTCTGAAACAGTTTTCAAGCTGTTAGTTTTCTTCTATCAGCAGAAATATGCAATCTCATTAAAATCAGATCTAGGTTCTCGCTGCCGCAAAACAAAGATCTGAGGACATCCCATTACGGGTCACGTCGGAACGACCTTTCGCGAAATTTGACTGACAACTAAAACGACTAACAAGAAGTCGACATCAGCCAATTAGAAATCTGCTTTCTCAAGCTTTACGGCACTTGTTTCAACCTGGCGACTTCCATTGCAGACTACACTTGAGAAATATGTTGACACAGTTCTCAATTAAAATTTTGAAAACGGAACAAAAGAACATTCTGGAATGTCTAATATGTCCCACGGGGTGCACAAGATGTATATGCATCTCAACCTCTGTATTCATAATAACATCATTCTCAGGCTACTTCTAACACTTACACTTACACTTACACTTCTTACACTTTTATCAGTGAAGGACACACATGTATTTGAAAATGAAATAATACAGAAACTGTACTTTTTATAAGATGCTCCCATTCCACGATGGCCAACGTCCAGACTCCGTCCGTTTCTATGCCAGTGTTTCTGGTAGGAAAGTTCCAGGGTAAAACTATGATCTGTGTATGGTTGTATGGTAAAATGATGCACTGAAACAAAGCATGACAGGAGTTATTAAATATTTTGGTCCTCAAGATACTTCAATCTGCAAGTCAAACCAATGGTCAGAGGATTATGCCACTCCAATGTACTAAATAAAATGGGAGTGTTTTGAAATTTGAGGTAGTCTCACTGTAGATTAGTCATCTTAGAAACCTTTTTTAGTTAAGAAAATAAACGTTGTTTATCATACAATAAAACACCGTAGGGGGAATAAACCATGAGGGGCTCAGCCCTGAGTTACTTATTCTCCCAGCAGTGTTTAATAATACCATAAACAACGACCACGAGTTGTTTATTTCTCATATGAGCTGTCAACATTATGTACAGCCTCTCTAAGGATTTTGATAAAAAGTACAAGCTTTAAAATATTTACCGAAATTTTAATACTGACGACTCCCTGAATAGAATCTAACCACGGAAATGTCGGACTAGCCCATTTTACGAATACCGGTAGGTGTGTTAAGTTTGGTATTTCCCGCTTATTCTCACAATCCTCACGACGATTGTCTGTACCTTTTGTGCCAATACCGATTGTCATATCTTTCCCACTTTTGGATACAATCGTTCGGCCACTGCGTTTATCTGCATAGCCCAGTTACATCTTTGGGGAACACCTTACTATGCACTCCCCTCTCAAAAATAATGTTGTCTAATATATGGCGTCATTAAACTGCAAGCACATATTCTCCAGAAATGACATCAAGATAAAACAATGTCTTATCGTGAAATAAACTACACTTTGTTCTTCATTGTTCTTTGCGATTTAAGCTGTAAGTGCATATTCTCCAGACATGACATCAAGATAAAACAATGTCTTATCGTGAAATAAACCATACTTCGTTCTTCATTGTTCTTTGCGATTTACTGCATAGGTATCTTATATTTGGGAATAGAACACTTCGGGTATCTAATCCAGGGGTCCGCAAAATTTAAAATCCCAATCGGACATTTGCATTTAGGCCACGCCCCCTTCAAATAGCTTATTTTAGTACAACTTTTCACACACATTACAAGTTGTTACGTATTCATAATATGATGAATTATGAATTGTTTCAATTTAAGTTGTTTAATTCACCGGACAATTAATAACAAATAATATCATTTTAGATGTACATGGAAAACATACGTTTGTTTCTGTTATAATAACGATCTGTTAACGTAGTGAACGGTCTAATTAATATTCATGAGTTATATTCATGAGTCTGCTCAAGTGTACGCATTGTAACATTTGGATCGAGTCTATTATCCCATATTTGGTTATCACGTGACCTCACGGTGAAAGGTTTTTTTTAAACTAAAGATTATTTAAAAACATGACAGATAATATAATCACAAATACTAAAATATCGTTGATAGCAATAGTTATTTTAATACTTTTTTCATCTTTACTTAATTATTGACCATAAATTTTTTTGATATCGATCGTCACAGAAAGCAAAATGGCGGTCAATCAAGATTCATTATACGACTAGCTACTGAAAACAATAAAATCTGCAAATCCTCATTGTATGTCAACCAAGTGAAAGTCATTAGCCACGACTTACAAAATGATCGTCCAGACTTTGAGGGTTTGGCAGATCCGCTCGACTGATCTGCATCGGTCGACTGGCTGTCGTCACGCTTTCGCTTCTTGTCTGAGGTTACGTATCGTAGCATTGTGAGGATAATGAGGTACATCGATGATGCAAGGTATTTATGTACAGTTGTAAACACCTTTCACTCAAATTAACAAGATGATTCTCAGTAATTAATCCTCGATTAATCAGTGTCAACTCAGTTTATTGCCTATTACAGTGATTGACCGATTGGACTATCATGTAGGTACGATGTATTTACAGCAATCAAAACAAACAAAGCTTGTCAGTGTAGATAATCTTCATTGTGTTACAACTGCAGACAGAAACTGCTCAGTCCTAACTGTTGATCATGTCCGGTCAAAATTTAAGAATGTCCGGACAATACTTTTTAAAATGTCCGGTTAGCAATATTTTAAAACGGACATTTGAGATTCCCAATCGGACATGTCCGGCGCATATGACGGTTTCCGGACCCCTGATCTAATCTACAGTGAGACAACCTCAAATGTAAAAAAACAGTCGGTGTATCTCCATTTGATCTCAACAATATCAGAGGTGGTCATTGTGACTTGAAACCTTTGATAGACCACTTGGAATCGAGTCGTTTCCAAATTCATGGTAGGATTGAAGATAATATACTTTGCGTTATGCTAAATACTTGAAACTCTATATGCCTCAGCAGCAAAGTGTTTTTACTGCACAGCAATCAGTGTTATTAAACTGTAAGATTTAACCATTAAGATTTCTAAAATATATCTACCTTAGTAAATGCTGAATACTTTTAAACAATATGTAACTAGCCAATATCCTTATAGTGTAATGAGTAGTAATGAATACACTATGAGACCAATACGATACGTATCACAAAGATAGGGTAACAAATACAAATATTTATTCACGAATACAATAACAAGTCAGCAGTTGATGTATCATGATGTATTATTTGTTATATTTAGTAAAACATAAGAACATAAATTATTTGACATGATTTGTTAATTATCAACATATTATACATTTATATACTGCACTTATCCAGGTACTAGTATCTGCTCAAATGCGACAGTGACCAGTGACCACAATACTGTTAAATTAAATATTATAAGAGTGTTGTCTTTGAAGAAATCTATGCACATAATATGTTCTTATGGACATTTTTAGGTACAGGGTATGTAAATGCACATGACTGCATATTCATAAATATTCAATTCTAGTGGCCATGAATAACGAATATATTCCATGAATACGGTGCAATTCAACGAATACGCGAAAATCGTAACAGCCCTAGTGATGAGACAATGTAACGTTCAATTATCATCAACATCCATCACATCTAGTTTCATGTACCTGAGACCTCCCCAATGGGCTTGTGCTTCAGGCCATTGATGGGTATTTTTCTGCAGCCGAGAGATTCTGTTAGGTTGTTCAAAGGCAAGATGTAGGCATATCCCACATATCGAGGTAATCGGTTCTCCATCTCCACAAAGAAGTCCAACTGGTAACCCTGCAATACAAGGGTTTTACAAGTTTCCTTTATCAATACTAGATTTGTTTGTTCTTCCGTTAAGTTGATAGATTCAGCAATGACAGTGCTGTAAATAATCGATGATGTCAACTTACGATGATCGACAATCAACAAAGTCAGTAAGGCTGACTGACCACCTGATCCATTTGGTCACCTATTCTAACCCAGAATCCCCACAAGGTCCATGGTATATTTTGTTTTGTTTGTTTGTTTGCTGCTTCACACTGCACGCAGCAAAATTCCAGCCATATGATGGTGGTCTGTAAATAATCAAATCTAGACCAGACAATCCAGTGACTGACACCATGAGCACTGATCTACGCAATTGGGATATGATGAGATGCATCAATCCAATCAGCAAGACTGACCACCCGATCCCATTAGTCGCCTCTTACGTCAAGCATGGTCATCTTTTACGGCAAGCATGGGTTGCTGAAGACCTGTTCTACCCCGGATCTTCACAGGTTCAATGGCATAGCAGTTGATTGTACATGTATAAGTCTGTTGGAGACAAATCACTGTTTGGTCATGTCGACAATCATAATATTAATAAAGCTGTTTGAATGTACGCAAGCTGGAAAAAGCTGGAGAAAGATGGGGATGCAAGTCCTTATGCTACCTGGCATTTCCAGTTGTATTCAAGATAAGTGAGTGAGTGAGTGAGTTCGGTTTAACGCCGCTTTTAACAGTATTCCAGTTATATCGCGGCGTGTCAGCTTAATGTGGGAGGAAAGCCCGAAGTGATGGAGGTCTTAGACGTTTACCACTTTGGTGAAACCCACGAGCACGGGTATGGTGCTGACAAACCTAGAAACATAATCGGGGTGAACCAGGATTCGAACCCACAATCATAGGTTTCTGGCGTGCCCAAGGGACGCAACTCTGCACAGCGAATCGCTGCACCTTAGACGACTGGGCCACCCGTGCCCCCTCGAGATAAGAGTATTAAGATGAGTCAACATGGTTAAGTACAACCAACATGGTCAAGTACAACATGGTCAAGTACAATAGACATCAACTCTTGCTGTGATCATTAAACCGTCATCACATAGCTGGAATATTGCTGAGTAGGGGGCTAAACAATAAAAAATTAATATGATTAAAGAACAGTAACTTGATTGCAGAATCGTCAGCTCCACTTGAGTGAAAACAATCTTCTCTCAGTTCGACAGACTTTGGCTATAGAGCATTCTCTCACATTATTCCAGCATTGTGGAACTCCCTCCACCTTGGGCTGAAGTTATGTCCCAGTCTTGAAAACTTGAGCGAACCTCAAAACCTAACTGCATGAAAGCTTTTTTAGCAGTGATTAAATCCCCATTTCTCTCTCTTTCTTGTACTTTTTCAAACATAATTTCAAAGCATATTTAAACATTAATAACTTCCACTATTCTACTTTGTACTTGTAGAACTCTGAGCAGCCATTGTCGTCTGGATTAAGTGCAATATAAATGTACATTATTATTGGATGGCTGTGCCAAGCGTCGTCGCATCCACATAAGACTCCATGCCCAAGGTACTGTGGAGTAATGGTGAATTGTTTTAGCCAAAACGCTTACCAGGTGTTCCGAAGTGAAGGTCTGACTGCTGAAGACCAGGTAGTCATCAGGTTTGTAGACAAGGCCGAATTCGCCCTGAGGTTGTCTCTGAGGAACTTCGTCTCCCAGAGACTGAAACAGAAATAGTGAAAACACAGGTAATATCTATGTGAACTGAAACAGTGAAAACACGGGTAATATCTATGTGAACTGAAACAGTGAAAACACGGGTAATATCTATGTGAACTGAAACAGTGAAAACACGGGTAATATCTATGTGAACTGAAACAGTGAAAAGCACTGGTAATATCTAAGTGAACTGAAACAGTGAAAACACCCAGGTAATATCTCTGTGAACTGAAACAGTGAAAACACAGGTAATATCTATGTGAACTGAAACAGTAAAACACAGGTAATATCTATGTGAACTGAAACAGTGAAAACACCCAGGTAATATCTAAGTGAAATGAAACAGTGAAAAAACCCAGGTAATATCTCTGTGAACTGAAACAGTGAAAACACAGGTAATATCTATGTGAACTGAAACAGTGACAATACCGTTAATATCTATGCGAACTAAACAGTAAAACACAGGTAATATCTATGTGAACTGAAACAGTGAAAACACCCAGGTAATATCTCTGTGAACTGAAACAGTGAAAACACAGGTAATATCTATGTGAACTGAAACAGTGACAATACCGTTAATATCTATGTGAACTGAAACAGTAAAACACAGGTAATATCTATGTGAACTGAAACAGTGAAAACACCCAGGTAATATCTAAGTGAAATGAAACAGTGAAAAAACCCAGGTAATATCTCTGTGAACTGAAACAGTGAAAACACAGGTAATATCTATGTGAACTGAAACAGTGACAATACCGTTAATATCTATGCGAACTTAACAGTAAAACATGGGTAATATCTAAGTGAACTGAAACAGTGAAAACACAGGTAATATCTAAGTGAACTGAAACAGTGACAATACAGGTAATATCCATGTGAACTAAACAGTAAAACACGGGTAATATCTCTGTGAACTGAAACAGTAAAACACAGGTAATATCTCTGTGAACTGAAACAGCAAAACACAGGTAATATCTCTGTGAACTGAAACAGTGAAAACACAGGTAATATCTCTGTGAACTGAAACAGTGAAAACACAGGTAATATCTCTGTGAACTGAAACAGTGAAAACAATAGTAATCTCTGTCATGTCAATGTGAACTGAAACAGACCTATCCCACTACTAGTACCCAGTACCTTGGTTGTTTCAGGACACTAGAAACATATCCTGTCAATTACCTAATCCAATGTGTGACCATGAATAGAGACAGTGAGTGAGTGAAATACACCATACCTATATTCCTGTAATTCCACAGCAGGTGACACCAAGAGGCTTGAAAGTTTGTACACACGTGAGAGATGTCGTGGGCAACATTTAAACCAGTGGGCTACCCCAGACCCCTTGTATAAAGACAAGCTAGTACCTGCAGTGACATGGCTGTTCGTGATTTTGACAGTATCTTTGAGAGAGCAACTCTGAGATATAAACAACTCACAAAGCAGGTAATTGCTGTCTTCTTACAAGGCGGAGGACCATCTCTGCTCTCTTCTTCATCCACATCATGCAAGTCAGGCATTGATGGCTGCAACAGACGATTACACTCATAGACATTGTTTGTTTGTTGTTTTACGCCGCACTCAGCAATATTCCAGCTATATGACGGCGGTCTGTAAATTATCGAGTCTGGGCCAGACAATCCGGTAACTGACATCATGAGCATCGATCCACTTATACTCTCATTAGGATCGATGACATGCATCAACTAAGTCAGCGAGCCTGACTACACGATCCCGTTAGTCACCTCTTATGACAAACATAGTCGCCTTTTATGGCAAGCATGTTCTCTCATACACAACTTCAGAGGGCAATCTATTACAGTACTATCACTGAACATACTACTTGTCATAGGAATGTGTTCTTTATAATCATTGAGATTTCGAGTACTTCAACACCATTATTGTATGTTTTTTTGTTTATTTGGATGTTGCACTCAGCAACATATGACGGCAGTCTGTAAATTATCGAGTCTGGACCAGACAATCCAGTGACTGACATCATCAGCATCAATCCATGCAATTGGGATACGATGACATGCATCAACCAAGTCAGCTAGCCTGACCACCCGATCCTGTTAGTCGCCCCTTACAACAAGCATAGTTGCCTTTTACGGCAAGCATGGCTTCCTGAAGACCTATTCTACCCCGGATCTTCATGGGTTTCACCATCTTAATACTAAATAAAGACAGAGACACTTTTCAAGACAGTCACATGACCATGATAATTTCAACCACTTTCCAGTTTAACACACTTTTATATCACTGTGTGTCTGCTTAATATGGGAGAAAAACAGGCCATATACAAGATAGACCTTGACCACAATTTTGGTGCGGACAATATTACTTGAATTAATGACCAGCAGAACCTGGTACGGATAAGGGAGGTAACTACATAGATCACTAGGCAGCGATAGAAATGTATTTTTTTTAGTACTACTCATGAAGACGTTTAGGTATGCCCTTTGGAATATAAGTTGTCAACCGATCTCAAGGGGTACATGGTGTGATAGGGTTCATCACACCATATGCCCCAAGGGATTGGTTGACAACAAATTATCACAACGATATTCATTCATGCAGACCCGGAATATAAGTAAAACGCCATGATTCCGCCATTTCGACAGCTAACTGATGACGCAAAAGAACTGGGTTACTTCCCTTTATACAATGCATTTGGATAAACATCGGTTCATTTCAGCTCAGTGATACTTATGTGAGATAAGCAAGTTACCTATAGTGTGTTCCGATTGATTTCTCAGTGGGGTACATGAGTGGGGTACATGAGCAGGCTACTTGAACGGGAATTATGGAATTATGGAAAATAATTGCCCACTACTTAACCTTTCAGAAGGTAGTTTTTTAATGTGACCTGAGATAATATTCTTTATCCATCATCAACCTCGCTGAACATTCTAAATGTCATTTCACAAATGCTAGATACTATGCAGGTGTAATTTATAAAGTTTCAAAATAACCTTATTTATTTCGGTACACCCACATTTATCTGGTCCTTCAAACTGTGAACATGGTGAAAATGCAAAATCATCATTTTTCCGTGTGCCTCTCATGTTTCTTTTGTGATTCATAGGACCAAATAATGACAAATTCTGAAGCCGAATTAAAAAAAAATAATGGTTAGATATGATCTACAGAATGTTGAAGAAGGTAATCCTTGCAAAATAATTTGTTAAAAAGATTAATTTTGAACGGATGGCTTGGATTATGAGAACAGAAAAAAAATTCACAACTACACAGATGGCGTAAAAAAGAGACAGTGACGAGTTACTGGTCATGGTCACGAGGTTACGGTGCTCCTGTGCGGACACAGGGTGCATTGGGGTGAGATGTTTCACACTGTTCTCTGGGAACACAGAACAGGACATTTCCACTACTATTCGGAAGAGAGAGAGAGAGATAAGCAATAAGTTTGTGTCAGGATAAGACAAAATTATTTATTTTATCCATTATGATTTTGCCCATCAGAACTAACATATAAGAAATTATAAACCCTAATATGCCATTCTTTCCGAACACGCAACATACTCAACCATACATATGAACATAAAACGATCAACTAATATTTTTTTGCATCCTCACATCACGAATGGCGTAGTCCATGGGCACACACTTGACCCTATATGTTTGTGCACGGTGACGTTGTTTCCACATGTAGATTGGGTTGTTGTAGAGTCGGATCTCGGTGCTCACTGGGCCCATCAGCCAGCCCTCACTTATGTTGTTGTAGCCACCTGAAACATCCACACACCTTGTCACCAGAGTTCTAAATATGTAGCTGGTAGCCCTAGGCTAGCAATATTTCAAGAGGATCACATCTTCCCAAGGCAAGGGAGTTACCTGACTGGAAACGTCCAGTTTCCATCCTTGCCGACTTGGCTGGAATTTCAGGGTTCAATCGCAGTGCCACCAGTGGCTGTTATGAGTTATGTCCCTTCTATGTCCATCCATTTGACCAATCAGATTCCACCTCTGATATCACATGCATTTGCTTCAAACATTGAGTCACATTGATATTGAGTCGCATTTTTGGCTAGAGGTCAGCAGTCGTATTAATTTGGAGACGCATTAATTTCCAGATTTACGCCATCTACATGATCTAACCTATTGTGGGCAAGTCATCTATGCTTCTGGATAGTATAACTGAAGGTGTTCGTCCATCTGGCTTATTAAAACAATAAAATATCTTGTACACTGTTTATCATGTTTACGAGTATTTGAAATGTAAAAAATGGCCTAAGAACAGATTACCCAGCGAATGATTTTTTGCTGCAGCTCTACACTCACCAAAGTGACCAAACTCTGAGACATCTCCGCGTTCACACAGGCCATCTGTTAAAACAAAAAACAAGACCATCACAGAACACAGTCCAGTGCACATGTTCTAGATCTAAGCCATCGACAGTCACATCTCACCCTCTGCCGCAAGTGGTTGCTCTGGTTACCATGGAAATAGATGATTATTTCGCCCAGGCCAAACACATCATCATAAAAATGTACAGGATCCTATTACAAAGAGCGATCATAGTGCAATGACTGTTGTAACCTTATGTTGTAACATAGGAGTTATGGACTATCTTAGTGCTAAGATCGCTTTTTGGGGTGGGCCCAGGCAACTTTACTCTTGCTCCTTGGATATGTGAGGATGTGGAATATATCTTATCACATTCTTTCAAGGATGAAAAGATGGTGGAAATTTACTTTTCAAAACAATATATATCAATATGAACAAGATATGCTTTAAATATGAGAAAATGTAGATTAAAAAAAAGTGTGTTCCTAATCTTGGCTATTGCAATCATGACAAACAGCTAAGAGAAGGCTTCCCAAGGCGATCACAAGTCCAATTGTAAACCTTTTTCAGTTTGTTGGATTTTAACAGAATCTCAATCTCCGTAGCCGCTTAAGACAAGCATTGAGGTTTCAGGACTAATAGATGGTGACCTGATAGTAAACTGGTAAAACAATTAGATCAGAGCAAACCAAGGCTAATCTTCAATTTTTGTACTTTTCATTTTAATTGTTCTTGGATGCATATTGGTCTCCCATCGGACAACAATCAGCTTTAGCTGGCCACACCCCGCATCCAGGAAACGGCAGATGTAATATCGGTACAGGTAGTCTGCATCTCCCGGCAGGTCGATAACACGGCTCCACGTGTTACTATAGAAACAAAGTGGCAAAATATGGATTGCTCCATTTTGACAGGTGACATTTACCTTAGGTCACAAATTGAAATTTCCTAAGATCTAAAAGGGGTGTTGGATTGCAAGGCGTGTCAGTTCCCTGAAACGTGTGTGAGTGTATTCAAGCATGAAGCACGATTAGTATAGCAAGACAACGGAAATGAGACTTGAGCCTGAAAAACTAAAGTTTTAAGTGGGCTGTCCAAAATCAGTAGGTTACCTTCTATTTAGATAGAGTTGGCCCTATGCTTGGTGTAGATAGAGAATTTAGGCCACGTAAACTGTATGGCGCTAGCTCAGCGGTAGAAACTAACAGTTTCAGTCCACTAGTCCTTATAATGATAACATATAGCAAAACCCTTAAAAATGGCAAATTTCTACTAGTCCTTATGATACCTTTACTATTGGGCAGTTTGGCCAGGACTACAGGACTACAGGACTAGTGCCAATTTCTTACCCTGTAGCTATAGCCCAGAGCTCAAGATAAGCTGCGTATCTGCGTGAAATACGCATCAGAAATGCAGAAATACGCAGTAAAATATAATCCAAGCGTATCAAATACGCAACGAACATTACAGATACGCTACAAAAATAAAATTTGTGCGTATCATCAAATTATTGTGAAGTAACCCTGCGTATTCGATAAGCAAATCAGCAACTTATTTTGAAATTATAAACGGGCATTCCGTCAACCTTGCCAAACTCCACGATGACAGTTACATCCTGATCATTTGCCATCACACTTTCGTGTGGAAGTATCGTGGTATTTTTTAGTCCTATAAAGCTCTCGAACCCACATGACACCAGTTTGCAGGGACTAGATGAATAGTGTTTTTAAATATTTAACTTAAATACCCACATGTGTAAAAACTAGTGGGTAACAGAAATTTGAATACGCAGATAGAATTACTGATACCCAATGATTTTAAAATGCATGGGTAAAATACCCACAACACCAAAAGCTTATCTGGAGCTCTGATAGCCAATGAATTCCACATCTTGTTAAATACAAATCTATTATCATCTTAAGAGACTTTTTCTGATGTAACACCATGGATGGTTCTTTTTGAGGAACAAAAGATTGCTTAATTGATTGGTAGCGCTATACAGAGCTCCGGATAGCGTTTTGAGCAATTGGGTTTTTACTCAGGGGTTTCTATTTTAATCATTGTTAATTGGGTTATTACATTTTTCATTGGGTAACCAATATTTTTTCACCCTATTGGGTTTTTCCCCAAATTAGTGAACATTTAAAGATTGAAAAAATATGAAATAATGTTTTAGATGTATATAAATATTCTAAATATATAAGCTTGACTCTGAAAGTAAATTAGCTCATAATTTTGTTTCGGAAATTAGCTCCTTTGTACATGTTGTACTCATGCTGAAAAAGCTTCGTTTGTATTTACGCGTGCTGTTTTAATAATTTGGGTTTTTCATTAAATGCATGCGTTTCTGTACGCAAATTAATTGAAAGTAATTGGGTTTTGAATATTTGGGGGTGGGTGGGGATCTTACGCAACTTTGGTGTTATAGATCACTGTTTCAACATGTTCAAACAGAATGAGATTTTTGTGTGCTACCAACGTGTTAATGTTGTAAAAACGAACACTCTTTTGCCTATTGTAGATCAACAATAATGCTCACTCAACCATTGTCAAAATAACTAGACCCTCCCGAGACAGTTATATACTAAACCTCTTTGTTCACGATTGTGAGAAGGGCGGTAACAACATGTTTCGTAGCTACACGAATCACATCATCAAAGTAAGGTTGAAAAATGATGTGTGATTTTCATGATTTGTTCAACTTTTGACAGGACATTCTTCTAAATCATTACCAAATTTGCAAATATCTTGAGGACATTTTGGTAACCATGACAACAATCAGTCAGTGTCCATGAAAATGAACCGATCTGAAACCCTGTACATTTGACAGGTTAAAGAAATATTTTCATCATCAAACGTAATGAATAGTGGCCTAACCAAAACATATTAAATGGATTTATTATTTTAAATCAAAGAGTGCAACAGTGGCATGAAAAAGTAGTAGTTTTCAATTCATGTCCATATTATTTTACAAGAAATCCTCATGTAAACCTGTATAGTTTTTTATCGATATGAATGACAAACTCAATACATAAGCAGTATGACACTTGTATTGTGTATACGGAATGCTGGCTACAAGTCATCAACAGCCTACAATAGCAAAGAAGTTTTTGGAATCATATCATTAGTCATAAATATTTACAACTGATCAGTCTTGGATAATGTAAAGCTGCCAATGTGCCCATGAGAATTTTCTAGAATTAGTCTACTAAAGAACTTGTTTTTTAACATGACATAACATTTTAAGAAGGTCCAGAACAAATTAAACATAAATGTCAGTATGTTTTCTTGTGAAGACAGGCAGCAGGATATTTTTGTGACTTTATCAACTCTTAATCATGTTAATAGGAGTTTTGTTTATCAATACCATGATAACAATAAATGAAAAAAATATCAGTACATTTTAGATAAAAGTCAACGTTCATGGAAAATGTGTGAGTGAGTTGGGTAAAACACCAATCTGAACATCAGTTCAGTTTGATCATGGCATGTCAGCCTAATGTGAAAGGTAAGTCAGTGATAGAAATATTGTCATTGCCAAACTGCCCAATAGTTAGGTATCATTTAGACTAGTAGAAATATGCCATTTTTTAGGGTTTCCTGTAAATTAATGCTATCATCATATGGACTAGTGGACTAAAACTGTTAGTTTCTAACCCTGTTAACATGTAGTGAAAACTTAACCATGTTAACACTTCAAACTCATTAAAATTAGATCTTAATGCTTGCTACCACTACCCAAAGACCTGAGGATATGCCCTTACAGGCCACATCAGAATGTAGATAAAGCTTAGATACTTCTTTCTGAAAATGGATATTTGAACATAATAATCAGAATCATACAACAACAAAAGGCTTTCTACAAAGAAAATAAATAAATATCAGCATGATCAGGAAACAACAATAATAATTTAGAAACAACCATTATTATGATTTGTAATTTCTCACAGTTTTCTTGACCCTACTAGATCATGATGAACTGAATACAGATCCTTATCAGTTACAGATCCTTGCAGGGTCTGATCCTGTACCAAAAACTTGAACTTGCTCTTACCTCTCATCCTCCTGTCCTTTTTCTAGAGGTACACCTCTCTGGGGCTCCCAGTTCCCTAGTAATGGTGTGTTCCCTGTCACATAGACTACTTCACCTTTCTCTGTCGCAACATTGACAGCAAACAAGGTGGCCACAGTCATTGTGGAAAATGGAGTTGTGAGTAGACTGGCAGCAAGAGGTTACAGATGTTCCTTCTACCTGAAGCCTGAAAGATCAAGAAAGCAGAGTAAGGCCAAGAAACTGAACAAGTGGGGACTGGGACCCCTTCTGCATAAATACATGGGGAAACATTTTCAAAACACTCTGAGAGATCAAATAAAACATGAACCCCATGGTATGCTGGTTATTGATGCAGAATCGCCATCTACAAGTAATGTTAGCTATACACAAAAATTTCGCACAGCATCTCTTCTTCAGATATTACGCATTGCAGCAACAACGTCTGATATATAATTAGCCTCAACAATTTGTTTGTGATCACTGCCGTCAGCAGGTCTCTCCAAGGTACTCATTCTAAAATAAGAATTTAACTTTGTCATTGAATTAGATTTCACATGATTAATACAAAGTTGACATGTCGTAGTATTTAAAAATTCTTTCTGAGTTATGCTGCGACTACGTGAGGTCACGAAGCCATGTTTGCTGAAAATTTCTACCTTTCTCAGTTTTTCTACTTTTCCTGTCACCATGGTCACTGCCAGGTGAGCCATGCGAAACATTCTGTGTCTCTCAAACATGGTCATTTGAAGCAGAAACATAGTTGGCATTATCAGAACTATGACTACAATATTTGCAAATATGTGTAAAATCAATTCTGACTGGACCATCTGGACTTTCAGCAAATGAAATGTGCTGAAAGTTAATTGAGATGCACATGACAATGAAAATCACAATGTTTACATTGAACAATAGAAGCAGCGGTTCGAGTGATGTTAATTGAAACAGTCAGTGACTGCCATAATTATACAAAATAAGTCACCTACATGAAAGTGCACGATGTCCTGCTGAGAATAAATATCATGCACCAAACAATAAATTATTGCAAGAATTCAGGGTTGCTGCAGCCTTGGCAGAACACTGACTGAGAGTTGGAACAAATAGTATCAGAGTTGAGTAAATGTCATGTTCACAACATCTGTTACCTGTACAGGGTGTAAGGTGTACAGCTGTCACCCTGGGAAAATATTTCAAAACAAGGACCCCCACAATCGATGACCCATCTTCCCGAAGCAAGAGAGTAAACTGACTTTAAAAGTCCAGTTTCCACCCTTGCCGAACTAGGCTGGATCGTAGCGCCACCAGTGGCTATTACCGGTTATGTCCCCTCTAAGCCTCTCCTATGGACCAATGAGATTCTACCTCTTGTATCACTTGCGTTTGCTTCACCCAAAATGGTGGCGCCCGGTCAGGACGATCTGATCGATAATCAAGATCTATATTGTGATAAAACGGGTCTTACATCGCGAAATACCTCAAATCACGTGAGCACCTTGATTAAAAACATGAAAAAATTTGGAAAATATCTGCTGACAATGAGTTGGCGGTGCACATGCTTTGCAAATCCTGCAATCAACCGAAATCTGCATGACAGTTTGCGAACCGAATTTCCATTTCGGTGTGCGATTTTGATTGGACTATGTATAGATTCGTTAGTCCAGCCAAAATGTAACTCCATAATACCAGTCTAGTTCGGCAAGGGTGGAAACTGGACTTTTATAGTCAGTTTACTCACTTGCCTGATGACTGAGAGTCCCAGGGACAAATACATACTACATAGACCAAGGTAAATCTCTGCCTATATTCAAAATCACTGACAAAGTAAGTCCTCATGCTACAAGTGAGTGAGTCAGTATGGTTTTACGCCGCTTTTAGCAATAATCCAGCAATATCACTGCGGGGGACACCAGAAATGGGCTTCACACATTGTACCCATGTCGGGAATTCGAACTCGGGTCTTCGGCGTGATGAGCGACCGCTTTAACCACTTGGCTACCCGACCGCCCTTCCCCATGCTACAAGACATTCCGGTTCAAGCTCAAGTAGAGTCAAGAACTGGTGACATTTTTAGCATATTGTGATGTTAGAAGCGGACTCAAAATAAACATAGGGCTGCTAATGTGCCTAGGGTGTTCATCACTAGAGAACAGAGACTGGACATACTGGATAATGGAAGAGGACTGCCTACATGACAATTGAGTCTGTTATTAACAAGCAAACCAGACACCCACCCTTAAGCATGCAGTATGCAAGGTGCTTCTTCTGACAACATGCCTTAAAATAGGTATGCCATTACAGATTCCAGTGTTAGAAATTGGTATCATAAGGACTAATGCAAATTTGCCCTTTTTAAGGGTTTTGCTGTACGTTATCATTATAAGGACTAGTGAACTAACACTGACTCTGATTCTAGTTCCAAACTGACAGTGAAAGAAAAATGGTGATAAACAGAAAATTCTCAGAATAGCCTAACAGGGTTCATGTTTCAGGACTTGATAAATTTTACAATGGGAACTTCTGAAACTTGCATTGCACTGCTTGCAATGTGGGGCATATGTCAGGGATGGATTCCGTCGGCAATGATAGAAATTAACCTAAACACATGAAAAAGTCTACCAGCCAGAATAGTGATTACATTTCTTAACATCCCCAAAAATGTTCAAAATTCTACCATCGCTTTGGATACATTCAATATAAGCTTATATATACGATTGTAACTCCCACACCTCAACATAGACTTGCGACAATCGTAGCACTAGGATCGCTTTGTGGAACAGGGCCCAGGCTTTCTATCACTGCAGTGGTCATGTTGGTCGTGTACAACTAGTCCGCACCTCTATCCCTGGTATATATATAGGGACATGGGATTATCTAAGTCAACAATGTTACGTATGGCAACCAGAAAATATTTCACAAAGTTTTGTGCACAAATGAAAAGTAACCCAATACTTATTAGGATAGAATAATGAGAGATCATGTGCTCATCACCTGAGGGGAGCAAGGCAGTTAACTGATTATCAAACTCCAGTTTTCACCCTTGCCGATCTTGACAGGTATTATGGAGTTATATTTGGCTTGACTAACGAGTCTCTTTATAGTCCAATCAAAGTCCTGTAACGAACCTCCAGTTCGTAAACTTCAGTCAGATTTCTGATGATTGCAGAATTTGCAGAGCATGTGTCATCTGGGCGTCGACATATATTTTCCAAATCTTTTCATGTTTTTAATCAAGGTGCGCAAATGGTTACATGTATTTTGTGAGGTAAGATCCATTTTATTACAATATATCAAAATCAGATCGTTTTGACTGGGTGCCACCATTTTGTTTGAAGCAAATGCAAGTAATATGAGAGGCGGAATCTGATTGGTCAGTAGGAGGGACATAGAAGAGACATAATTCATAATATCGATGGTAGGCAGTGGTGGCGCTACAATTGAGCCACAGAATTCGAGACTAGTTCGACAAGGGTAGAAACTAGAGTTTTACAAATTACAGTCGTTTGATACCCTTGCCTCAGGACGATGGTGCTCTCATACATGTTTATTGCAAAAATTGTTGATGTGCAATCATGGCGAAAGCCACAAGAAATTAGTTACTTACAAAAACATTACGAACTTGGTTCAGGTATACAGTAGGGCAGCAACGAATACGCTATAAGGCAAATACGAAATGTATCACGAATATAGGGTAACGGATATGAATAGTTATTCACGAACACAGTAACAGGTCAGTATCAGTTGGTGTATTATTATATTTAGTGAAACAATAAAAAAAATTTTTTTACATGGTTTGACCATGTTGACAGAGTTAATGATTATTATTATATAAAAAATTTATATACTGCACGTATCCAGGTAGTAGTATCTGCTAAAATGCAACAATGACCAATGACCACATTACTGTCAAATTTAATATAAATATCTTTGAAGAAATCTATGTATGGATATAATTAGTTCTTATGGATATTTTGAGTTAAAAAATACTTATCTTATTTTTTTCGTAAATATTCGATTCTTGTGTCCACGAATAATGAATTCAATTCATGAAGGGATACGGTTTGAGTCACCGAATACACGAGTGAATCGTAACAGCCCTAGTAAACAGTGACAGAAATTGATAAAGTCAATTGTCCTTGCCAAACTGCCTGGTGGAAATTTGCCATTTTTTAATGGTTTTGCTGTGTTATCATTATAAGGACGAGTGGTCCAAAACTGTTCGTTTCTCTTGCTGGGTAGATAACTTGGTTCTCAGCAGCTATGGCCACAATAAATTAGTTACTCAGACTTTTACACACAGAAAAATGCATACTTAGTCATGTTGGTCAGCAGAACAACTGAAGTTCTCATCAGTGAAGGCTGTTAAACAGTTTTGATCCATATCACTACAAAACAATCGCCTAATCATTTTATTGTCGACAAGTACCAACTGACGAAGAAAATCGCAACATGTGTTCTTTCTTTACCATGTTTCCATTGTGAAATACCCCAATCACCTCATCCTAGTCCAAGTACTCATCCTGGGTTAATTCTAGGGTGGGGCCTTGTGCTTTTAGCCTTTAAATTTGTAAAACAGGCCCACATTTTCCATTTCAATGTGGCATTTTAACATTGTGCTGTATGGGCGTACCTGTGGAATATTTGAAATTTTCACATAAAGGGCCCATGTTAGAAAATTTCAAGAGTAAACCCTGATCATCCTCCATGCAAATCACATCTGTTGACAGTTTATGTACACAGATGCAGTAGACAGTTTGTTTAAAATATACATATAATTAAATGACTGCTGCATAACATTATAATAAAAAAAACTGGATAAATATGTAATTATTACAACAATGGAGCCTAACCAGTAATGTATTCATAATTGTATCTACAATGTTGTCTACTGTGCCATGCTACCAGGCTTAGAACTAAACTTTAAAGCTTTATTACCTTGTGTAAGGATAAAATGCCATTGTAATGTTAAAACAATGGGGAAATTTGTACTATCCCACATAAATTTGTGCTAGCCCCGAGCTAGCAGGCTAGTGTTAATTTCTCACCCTGGCTACTAATGCAGTCCACTCAGGTGAGGTGAAATGGGGTTTAACGTTGCGGTCAACTGATCCACTGAGATACCATGCCCCAACTTAACATGGATGCCAAACTCAAACACAGTTTCCTTGTTTTATCCCCTTAATCCTGAGCACAGGCAGGACAACAACAAGTACCATCTTTCAACATTTCTTGGTATGACATGGACAGGGAATGAACCAGCAACTTTCTGCTCTCCTGGCAGATGCTCTATCCACTAGACCACAGAGGTTTGGTTTGGTTTGGTTTGTTGTTTTACGCCGCACTCAGTAATATTCCAGCTATATGACGGCGGTCTGTAAATAATTGAGTCTGGACCAGACAATCCAGTGATTTACATCTTGAACATCGATCCACTCAATTGGGATCGATGACATGCATCAACCAAGTCAGCGAGCCTGACCACCCGATCCCGTTAGCCGCCTTTTACGACAAGCATAGTCGCCTTTTACGACAAGCATGGGTTGCTGAAGACCTATTCTACCCCGGATCTTCACGTGTGAGGCCACAGAGACGATCCTGTGCACTAAGCATGCTGCTAAGACAAATCTTATTGCGATACAGTTTTCCTTCACTCTAATTGGCTTGTACGGCATATTAAACATATCTATGTTGAAAACTATGGGTAGATTACAAAGATCCCTACCTGACTGTGTTACAACATTTATGTTATTATCATAATCATACGGTAAATAATTTTTGTAATAATGCAACCAGATGGTTCAAAATGGGCATTAATGTTAAATGTTTCGGTTTGTAGCATCCAGGTGCCCCTCAGTTTGGATTGTATTTCATTGTAAGGCTGTCGCAGGCTGATCAAGGTCAGAGCTATAGATAAGCAGCATATTTGCGTAAACTACCACCCAAAAATATTTAAAATCCAATTACTTTCAACTAACTTGCGTACAGAAACGCACGCATAAAAAAAATCTCAAATGTTAAAAAACAGCTCACGTAAATACCCAATGAAGCTTTTGCAGCATGCGTACAAAGGAGCTAATTTCCGACACAATTACGAGCTAACTTACTTTCCAAGTCCAAGTATATTTAGAACAGTTATATACATAATACATTATCTAATTTTTCTTAAAATGCTCGGAGGGGAAGGGCCAGTCGTCTAAGGCACCGCAATTCGCTGTTGTAAACGTGGTAAACATCTGAGACCTCCATCACTTCGGGCTTTCCTCCCACAGTAACCTGACACGCTGTGATATAACTGGACTACTGTTAAAATTGGCGTTAAACATAACTCACTCACTCTTAAAATGTTCATTGATTTGAGAAATGTAATAGCCAAATTAAAATAGAATCCCTAGAGTAAAAACTCAATTTGATAAAAAAAGTTATCTGGAGCTCTGCAAGGTCGATCCAAATGTTTGCGTATTTTATGCTACAGAGCACATTTTAATCATTACAATATACACAGCTTGAGGAGATGTGTCATAGATAGCAGATCCAACTGCAATTCCTGTTTTAACCGAGTTAGGGCAGGGGCATGGTCTTGACATTACAGTGAGCAATGAATGTGAGCAGATTTTGCCCCCCCCCCTCAAAGAGGGAAACTGTAGGAGGGGGCATGCCCCCCCCCCCACCATTTTTTTAATCATTAGATTGCATTTTAAGCAATTTCGTGCAGTAATTGTAATAAATCACATGCAAAAGTCAAGTCAAACGAACAAAATGGTAGATGCAGTAAAATTTCAAAGTTAAATCAGTACTTTTAAAAAATAGGGCATTAGGTTTTACAGGTGCAAGGAGAGATTTCAACGACGTGAAAGTTTTAGGACCAATTGAAGCCAGTAGTGCCGATGTTTTACGGGTGTCCGGAATACCATTAGCATTACATATTTGCTCAAAACGTTCAATGTAAGTTTCAAAGTCACATTTACTGTCATCAAATTCTTCCAAACTCCCAAACATAGACATGTTTGATATTTGACTATAGATCAATGTACTTTAGGGAATGTCGCAGGGCTGAGATAATATTGAAACGATCCGTCCTTCGTGTTTCCGAATTGATTATTTCCAAAGTTCCGTGAATTTCCATGAATATCCGTGAGAAAACATGCACTGCACAACACCACTAGCTAAAATGACACATTTCCACAAAGTCACTGTATCCTCAGTTCACAAGGTACCACACTTCCAGAATCCATTCTGTCCGATAACTTGGTTTCTGAATGTCCCGCATAAACCACATATTTGTCCAAGAACATTTTCTTGTGACTGTCTTATTCTTCAAAGTTTTTATCTTGTCGCCAGATTGTAGTGTGTAGGTCTAAATATTTCTTCAGTAACTAGTACGTAATGATAACGAGATGCCTTTTTGGTTAATTAGGAGATAAACATACTGTGTTTTCAATGTAGAGCTAGGTTACCTGTAGATTTAACCCCGCTAAATTGAATTTGGAATCAAACGCGCAGCGTGAGGTTTCAAACGTTAAATTTAGCGCGGTTAAATCTACAGGTAACCTAGCTCTACATTGAAATCACAGTAGGTTTATCTCCATTCTACCATTACTAAATAAAACGCGAACTCTTTGGTGTTAGCTGCTGAGTGAAGCAGCATGGGTTGAGTTCAGTGTTTTGAGTGGGTTATCGATCTGAATTACGGAATCACCGAACAAAATATGGTGCTGAATATACTCAAGCAGTTTGTTTACACCGTTATACTTCACTCGAACATATGACAGGCATTGAAAGCATATAAGCAAGGCAACTTGGTAAGCTAACATGAGGTGGGCATCCCTAAAGAAAAAAAAGCAAGCTTTGCAAGGCTTTCGCTCAACATCGCGCATCACCATTATGACGTCATATCGCTCATTGTGACGCAAAAAATATGACATCACAGTCGTATATAGAAAAGCGCCAAAATTCCAAGCTCTCTGTTGTCTCCAAAACGTAAATACATTCCCTGTGTTGATTTCTGTCGTGTTTTTTCTGCACGAAATGTATTGCCAAACATCCTTTGAATATTGTAGTAACCGCATCTGTGCATTTCGTAACCTGTAATTGTAGATATAATTATTTAAATATGCCTACGGACAATGACTGAAAATAGAACTATTCTCTGAATATTAGCTTCCGTGGTGATGCGGCCGTCAAACCAGCTGATTCAACCAGAGGGGGTTTATTGTGATTTAATAGCCTCTGATTGACCAATCAGAATCGAGTAAATTCCAAATTCATGGTAGAATGCCTGTTTACTTGGGAACCCATGATGACAATGACAAGCAGGACGTCGCTTCGACATGTGACGTCACATCCCAATTGGCAGTGTGCGAAGGTGCATGAGCACCATGTAAACAACACAACAGTGATCATTGAAGATTTTGATATTACAAAGGGTGCATGTTGATGCTCTAGTTAATGAATTTATAACAGGTTGCGATCTTGTTGAGATTTATGGAATATCATCCGGGTACCCACGGGGAAAAAACAAAAGGCAACAAGAAGTCCAGGTGAATTGTCAGAGATCAGCATTAGTGCCCCTTTAAAGATGAAGATGGCTTTCACTTCCAATGTAAAAGAGATAGGCCTATACCTACTGTTTAGCAAGCCTATGCCGGTGTAGGCAGATCATGTGACATTGGAGTCCGACAAAATAATATAATACTTATGTACTGTCGTGAAAATGTTTATCATTACCTATAGTATACGGTTATTTTATAGCACTGATCTTGAATTAACATCAACATTAGGGCTGGGACGGGTAACTCGGGCTGGGTGGGTCCTGAGTAGGACCCGGGTACCCACAGGACTACCCGGACCCGTGATTAGTCACGTGATATATATTGTTTAATGACAAAAATTATCTAAAACTCTATGGTTACACTATAGGTCACTAATATTCCCATTTCTTTCTGACAATGCACCCATTCCTTCTTAATTCTATATGTTTGAATAAAGATAAAACTTCATGCATTAAACTTCAGTGTATGCATGAGCGGATCGTTTTACACGTGTATCTATATACATTTTGCCAGGGTTACGGTCAAACTTTTCCAAATCGGTCAGTTTGTACCTATTTCTAAATATCTACAACGGGTAACCGGGTAGGGTCGGGTAATAGGGTGATGGGTACCCGGGTAGTAAATTTGGACCCGTCCCAGCCCTAATCAACATCATCATAATCATAATTGACATCCAGCAGAGGACAGTCTGTCACTCATGACATGTTTCACTTGCTTGTGAAAAGGCTTATTGCACTCGCTCAGGCTCTAAATGCTACTGAAACAACGTATCTAACACTTTTTTAGTACTCACCTATCAAATCCTGAACTGAGCTACGAAGAGGAGGTGACGAAATCTGATTTCAGCCTCATATCATTATCAACTGATAATCAAAAACACTGGCTGTGCACTGTTTTCACAATAACACAACTTGCAACAGGGGACGTAACTCTAACGGCTAAACGTGAGGATGAAGACGACAAACCAGTTTCGTCCGGAAGTATCCAGTTCGCCCTTCGATCGCAATGGCAACTGAGCGTGACAAGAGACTGGGCTACCGTCTGCAATGACAGCAAAATAAACTTGGAGGCAACATTTGTTTTACCCATTTTTGAACACTGATTGGTTAACCGTGATCTATAAAGATTTCGACAAAGGGCGCATGCTAATTATAATTTCTTCAGCCTAAACAAACAGATAAAAAGAACGGCGGAGCTCATCATTTGGAAATACAGTGAAAACAGTGAAATGCGGTGAAAACATTTTCGGATTGCGTCGATAATACGATAATACTCCCTTGTTGACATCCACGTTTTCTGGTATAACCCTACACTTGTGTATTTGTCGTCATTCACTTGATGCTCAGTTAATGAATTTATTACAGGTATAATTAGTGGTAGCTAGCACCACTCAGAATACCTGACGAAGGTTCCCATTTGGCATTTATTGTGTCTGGGGTAATTATTCAATCTAAATCCAGGTTTGAAGTGAGGTGAAATGTGTGTTATGTAATATTCACGTGGCAGCCCAGCAAGAGATGAATGATCAGTTGATTTACTTTTTTTTGTAAATCAGCGGATCGTTCGTAGTCATCAAAGGATTAACAGAAAATACATTGATTGATTGATCACTGTTATCTTGTACGGTGGATATGTCAAAATTGAGTGTTTACATGTCTAGGTTTACTAAAACAAAGGGAATACACTCATATCACGGCGTGAAGTGCCGATGTAAAAACAACATGCTTTGTTCAAAGGGTTTACCGATAATACGTTGATTAATTGCTCATTCTAACTCAATGGATATTTTTTAAGAACCGTACGTGGACGTTATGAAAATAGTTGTCAGGGGGCTTTCTCAGCCGACCTTTGAGACTTGACACCTATGTGAAACACCTGAAACAATCTAAGTGATCAGTTGAGAAACGAACATGGGTTATAATATCCCGAAACGATACATATATTTTAAAATATTTGATTGTTAGAGAGACACGTGACATCGAATACGTTCTTTGTACAGCTGCAGACGTTTAGGATATTGTTCCTTTGTGTGGATATTCACGATACATTCCTCGAACAAGGAAGCTGCCTAAAATTATACACATAAATTTCTTAGGTTGTAATTATGATATTCGCATTTTGTTTTCCTTCATTTGCAGTAGCATTGGACAGATTCATTCTTGTTCCTCTACGCCTTGGTTGGGAAATTCTTCGATGCACGATAAACGTTGTCCTTTGTTTATTACAGTCAATTTGTAAAATGTGATTCTCTCAGGCAATTAATAAAATGTGTAAATATTTCAGTCATTTTGACTGAAACATCTGTCCATGTCTAACAGATTGACCAAAATTTATTGAGACGATCAATAGGGCCTAAAAACATCACAATAGATTATCATGTAGGATTAGAAGCCAAACAATATAGAAATGTACTTTTATCGTAACATTTTCAGTCTCTTGGTGTGAAATTAAACATAAAAATGTTTTGAATTCGTTGTCATAATAATACAGATGGACATATTTTTCAGTCAGTTTGTAAAATAACTGAATATTCAGGCGTTTAATAAATATCCTAAGTGAAAATTTTGCACATTTTGACTGTAAAAATATAAACACGATAAAATAAGCAATGCTCAGGAAATATATTTACTTTGTGTTGCAAGTCAAAATAGTGTAAACGAAAATCGCACAATTACCAAACAAGTGACTCATCAAAACTTCGTCACAATTACCGATGCTACCCACAAAGATACCTACATTTCCTTATTATTTCCAAAACTGTATTTAATTTTGTTGATCAATGTGACCATAAGCCCTTATACTATCAATAAAAGTGACAAATGCGCTTACGAATTGCGCAGCACAGGTTGCGAACTAGTCTAGGTTTCTGCTCCATCATCCGGGTACTCACGGGAAAAAAACAATAACAAGGGAAACAACCATTCCCAGGAAATTGCTTTAGATCAGTGCCCCTGAACGTTAACAACATTGTCTTTTAGAACATAGAATGTTAACATTATTGTTGTTTAACATAGAATGTTAACAACATTATCTTTTAGAACATAGAATGTTAACATTATTGTTGTTTAACATAGAATGTTAACAACATTATCTTTTAGAACATAGAATGTTAACATTATTGTTGTTTAACATAGAATGTTAACAACATTATCTTTTAGAACATAGAATGTTAACAACATTGTCCTTTGAATATATAGAATGTTATATAAACAATATTGTTGTTTAACATAGAACGTTAACAACATTGCCACCTAACACGTGAGGTTCGCATTGTTGTCACAACACATAAAATTATTCACTTAACAAGATATTGTAGGTCATTTTAGATTTTCAAAGAGTTAAAGGCACTTAACTTCTTGGCAATTAACGTTCAGTTTTTACACAGATTACTTGTTTGATAGGCATGAAGGCTAATTAAGTGAGCTTATACTAACTAATTTAGAGGTAAAGGAGCTAATCTTTCTACCATAGCGATCGATTCAGGATTAATAAATCTGAATTAACATTTCATTCCAAAGGCTAATTACCATGGAGACATGACATGCCATTAATTTAAATGTGCTAATCCCTGTTTCTAACCCCATTATACACGTGCTGCCAACAACCTTGAACGAGTAGTGGGCCTTTGGTATCATCCTGATCGGTCGAGAATAGAGTTTTAATTCAAAAATACAGTAAACTGCGGTTATAACGAACTAAAAGGGACCACTAATGTTTGTTCGTTATAACCGTTGTTTGTTATAAGCATATATACAACCAATATACATCAAATGAACAGGACCAAAACCTAGTTCGTTATATCCGTCAGTTTCTTTATAATCGTGTTCGTTATAAACGTAATGTTAGACCGATCAGCCCCGTATATTGAAGGGTATTCAACGGATCAGTACCTGGAGATTAACAATCTCAAAACAGAGCAGTTCAATATTTATCAAGAAGAGTGTAGAGATAAAACATAGCGTTGGATGTCATTCATGAGAAGTTGGTTGGTTGGTTTGTTGTTTAACGCCGCACTCAGCAATATTCCAGCTATATGACGGCGGTCTGTAAATAATCGTGTCTGGACCAGACAATCCAGTGATTGAAATCATGAGCATCGATCCACGCAATTGGGATCGATGACATGCATCAACCAAGTCAGCGAGCCTGACCACCCGATCCCGTTAGTCGCCTTTTACGACAAGCATAGTCGCCTTTTACGGTATGGGTTGTGAATAGTGAATAACAACATGAAGTCGGACCTCCTTCGTCGGGCAGTTAATGGAAGACCCCGGGCTTCTGCAAATGATAATGCCCTAAAAAATAGCGTTACCATTATGATATGGTGAGGTAAAATGGGGTTTAACGTCGCGTCCAAGATTATTGCACTTACATAACGACGTGCATGCACGGATGGGGCTGCTTGTACTAGAACGGACTGATGCCGATTTATAGTGCTAGCTCACTGAGATACCATGCCGCAGTTTAACATGAATACCCCACTCAGACAGAGTATACTGACTCCGAGCCGACCAGTCCTTGTTTTAGCCCCTTAATGCCGAGCGCCAGACAGGGTAACACAAGTACCATCTTTTAACGTCTTTTGGTGTGACGCGGCCGGGGATCAAACCCCGGTCCTTCCGCTCTCCAGGCGGAAGCTCTACCGCCAAACCTATGGATTTGATGTTGTCACTTCCAACCGAGATCCGTACATCCATACCTCGCATGTGAGGCCGTGCGTCTCACCAACGCGCACTGCCCTTTGTTATTCACAGTCATTTTTATTTTTGTTTGTTTGTTGTTTAACACCACACTCACCCATATTCGAGTTTTATTGGCGGTCTGAAAATAATCGAGTCTGGACAAGACAATCCAGTGATTAACATCATGAGCATCGACCCACGCAATTAGGATATGATGACATGGATCAACCAAGTCTGCGAGCCTGACCTCCCGACCCCGCTATTCGCCTGTTACGACACGCATAGTCGCATTTTTTGTTTCAGTGACGAATACAAATACTCGTAGCTTCTGTCTGAATGGGTCACAAAACAAATCACATTTGGAATAGCGGAATTATATAAATCTAATTCCAATCTGATTACAATAAAAAGCTATACTCCAATACGATACCTCTCCGATAGATCCGATTTTAATGTGATTGGTCTAATTCAAATCATTTGTAAACCGGACTTCGTATTTATAGGTTTTCTGTACATATATTGAATAAAAACAGTTAAGGATTATGGGGATATTTTTTGGAGTGATTTTTTTTTTTTTTTGGGGGGGGGGGTATTTTTTGTGGTGAAGGCTGAGCGCACAATTTCATGAAGATATCCCCAAATCTAGTCATGGTCCCTAACTTTATTTGTTCCGTATAGATGGAGATGATTAATATTGCGAGTCAGGACGCGAGTCTCTCATCTTATTTTGTATGTATATAGTGTGTGGTTTTGTTTTACCATCCCTGCTGCATTATAGATCATGGTGAGTAGACAGTATGCATAATCAGATGCATATATTAAGTTACCGTTACTTACTGCGGTGGAATGTTTCTGGTTTGATCAAACGTTTCAAAGCACATATGTTACTATATATTCCGAATAATCTCTCTCGGTGAGAATGATCGGAACTTAGGTGCTTAAGTTTAAAGCATCAATTTTCTTGTATGCAAATTTCCGGTCATTTCGACCGAGAGAGAGTATTCGGAATATACATAGCTAATATTATGACCAAAGGCAATGCTGAATATATCCGTTTCATTCGTATCATCAGACAGAATCATGTCAGATTCTTCACCCTGTTGCTATGAATTGCAAGCATTTTTATATGCCAGTAAGTAATGAGTGAACGCTTTAACCACTAGGCTAAACCTAGCCCCTGCCTGTATCTGATGTGAAGGCAGTTGAGAGCCTGTCTTTCGCTGATAAGCCAACGGGTCGCCTACAGAACTGATAAATATTTTATGGAA